TCCGGTATTTCCGCGGCTTCCGTCTCCACACATTCGAACAGGTCGTGCTCTTCCAGCAGCACCTGCGTGCGGAACTTCCAGGCCATGAAATTGCTGCCGTCGAACATGTACACACGCTCGGTTTTTCCTTCGTCCTCCATCGCGAAAACACTTTTCACTTTCACTGGATTGTCCGGAAAAACACTGGGCCCATAACCTAACAGAGTTATGGAATGGCCACAGGAGAAAATAACACGAGAAACGGTTTAGAAAAACTCACAGAAAAAGAAACGTGTTTATTGCTTTTAGGTTTACAGGTTGGAATGAATGAAATTGGTTTGACAGCTCAGATGGAGCTCACTGCACAGTGGTGACAATAAAAGGGGGGACAGTAGGTAGCAGTGTTGTACACTTGACAAATCCATTGTGAATATCATCCCATCGGTTACGTCTCTGGCTTCATCGACTTCAGCAGATTCTACTGTTAATAGAATCAGTTTGTCCCATAATATTGAGACATTCAACCAAGGCATCATGGGTATCCATGTATCACCGATTACGACAAAGAGGCTGAGAAGCGCGTGTTATCCTCAACACAAAACCAAAGAAATCATGGATGGGGTTAAGCGACACATATTCGATCTTTCGGAAGATGATGACCAAGGAATCCTCCAAGGGGCTAAGGATTACGATGAAATGATGAGCCAACTAAAGGAAAAATACGCAGATCCGGAATGCACTCGAGAAGAAAAGACACAAGTATTATCCGTATTACCGAAATCTTGGCTTGTACAAAGAATCATGGATGAATTCGGTGTCAACAGATATACTGCAGCACAGGTAAGATTTATATTTTTTTTTAAACACCATAAAGGAAAAATTAAAAATAATTTTCATTTTCTTTATTCCCAGGTAAAAGATTTGGTCGCCGAAGATGGAATATTATGTTCCCCTCGTTCCAAAGCAGGACATGGACTGAGAGCAGAGTTAGTAGATACAGTTGTGAAATTCTACGAAGATGACGATATAAGCAGAGTTATGCCGGGCCAAAGAGATTATGTCTCTGTAGTGACGGGTGGTGTACGCCAGGTAATACAAAAACGTCTACTAACAATGTCGCTCAAAGAAACATACTTGCATTTTACGGAAACCCATATAGATATCAATATTAGCTTTAGCTCATTTGCAGCCTTACGGCCAAAAAATTGTAAACTTCTTAGTAAATCAGGATCTCATAATGTTTGTGTATGTACGATTCACGAAAATGTTAATCTAATGTTGAACAGCCTGAAAAAAGATCGCATATTGTGTGATCGCACTATCTATATGGAACAACTTCTTTGCGATTTACAATTTAGAACAGACTTTTGCCATCTTCGAACGTGCATGAATTGTTACGATACGTCATTATCCGAAACAACATTATAAGAAATATTGGAAGAGAAACAATTATTAGAAGTGTCATTTGAACAGTGGACTAAAGGGTGTCCACGATGAAATTGCCACACTATGAAATTGCTCTAACTTTTTAACCGTTGGGTAGAATTTAATGAAAATTTGGGTGGATTTAGTTCATAGTGCATTATTTACATCCTGCAAGTTTTAAAGTCCTGTGATCAAAACTCGCGGAAATGGAGTCGAAAGAACAGCTCGTGCGTGATAAAATCTTCCGCATTCATCACGAGAACAAGGATCTCTCGCATCGTTCCATCGCTAAAACGTTGGGAATCGCGAATTCCACAGTGTCGCGAGTGATTAAGCGGTTCGAGGAACGGTTGACCACCGATCGGAAGCCCAGAAGTGAAGGAAAAAGTATTCCGTACAACACCAAAAATCACAACCGCGTAGTTGGGGCCTTCAACCGAAATCCGAACGCCTCCGTTAGGGATGTGGCTAAGAAGCTGCACCTAAGCCGAAGTTTTGTCCAGAAGGCCAAAACTAAGGCTGGGCTTCGAACGTTCAAGGTACAAAAGGCCCCTAATCGCGACGAAAAGCAGAACAAGTCCGCCAAAACCCGTGCCAGGAAGTTGTACTTCAACATGCTGACGAAAGTTGAATGCTGCATCATGGACGACGAAACATATGTGAAGGCTGACTTCAAACAGATCCCCGGCAACCTGTTTTTCACGGCCAAGGATAAGTTCAGCGTTCCGGAGCATGTCCGCACTCAGAAGATGTCCAAATTTGCGAAGAAATACCTGGTTTGGCAAGCCATCTGCACGTGCGGGAAGCGGAGTGCACCTTTCGTGACCCAGGACACGATGAACGGACAGGTGTACATAAAAGAGTGCCTCCAGAAGCGGCTGCTTTCTCTCCTGAAGGCCCACAACGTCCCAACAATCTTCTGGCCGGATTTGGCCTCATGCCACTACTCCAAGGACGTGCTGAAGTGGTATGCGGACTATAAGGTCAATTTCGTGCCGAAAATGTTCAACCCTCTCAACACTCCGGAGCTCCGCCCCATCGAGAAGTACTGGGCGATTATGAAGCAGCACCTTCTTAAACGACCTAAGATAGTGAAGACAGTCGAGGAACTGAAGAAAGTATGGGTTTACATGCAAAAAACGGTTGATTCACAGGTTGTGCAGAATCTTATGGCCGGGGTTAAGGCCAAGGTGCGGGCATTTGCGTATGGACTGTAAATAAAATACGAGTAAAATGGTAAAATGAAGTTTAATAGTTATATCTCAATCCCTGAAAATTTGATGGCAATCGGATGAAAACTCGAATTTTGCGAATCAATTTTGTGTGTGGCAATTTCATCGTGGACACCCTTTACGACAGATAGGTGTAATATTGAGTTGAAAACTTTGCCTTCCGAAGATTTTTCATTTTTCTTTACGGAAAAGTTAAACAAATTAATATATCACGATTTTATAAAAAATAAGCAGGCAGAATTCTTAAAAACAAAAAAAAAACACTAGATGATGGCGAAGTCGTTGTTATTTACGACTTTTCTGAAAACTACACATTTGTTCTGCAAGATGAGGTTCAAAGCTATCATTGGAATAATTCTCAATGTACAATTCATCCATTTGTCGTTTATTTTAATGATAATGGTACACTAAACCATTTAAGTTTTGTGGTTATTTCGGACATTTCAAAGCATGACACAGTAGCAGTTCAGTTGTTTATCTCAAAATTATTAGAATTTTTAAAGTCGCAAATAACAGTCCAAAAGTGTATTTTTATGTCAGATGGAGCAGCATCACAATACAAAAACATAAAAATTTTTGCTAGCCTTTGTGGATTTAAAGATAAGCATAATGTAGAAATTGAATGGCATTTTTTTGCAACTTCACACGGCAAAGGTCCTTGTGATGCGATTGTGGGTACCCTTAAGAGAATGGCAACCAGAGCAAGTTTAGCTAAGCAACACGAGCACCCTATAACGAACCCTAAACAACTGTACGACTGGGCAAATAGTCGTAAAGAAGATCTTCAAACAAAAATGTCATTTTTTTATGTTTCTACGGAAGAATACAAAAAGGCTGACACAGAATTTGATCCAATTTTTAAGAAAGTGAAACCAATTCCTGGAACTCGAAAATATCATTGCTATATTCCAGTTTTAAACAACCAAATTGCAGTAAAAATATTCTCTAATTCAAACGATACACCCAAATTATTCAATGTATTCAAATAATATGAGTTGTAAAATAAAATAATAAATATATACTGTTTCTTATCTCAACAAATCTTTCATTTGACCACATCAACGTGCTTTTCTTCCGCTGCCTCTAGATAGAAACGGGTAAGTCTGACAGCTACCATATCTGAGAATGAATTGTTTGTTTTTTAATATACAATCATGAAAAAAATCTCGTTGCTGGACATCTCGACGAACATTTGAAAATGGCCTAAAATGTTGAAAATTGTTATAATTATATTTTTTTAATTCGCATTAACTTGAGAACGGCTGGACTTAGGAAAAAAGTTTATATATGCAAAGTTATCGAAAATTATGCGTAGAATCCAAATAAATTATTATTTTACTAAAAAATATGCATTTTTTATCAACTTGTAAAAATCAACAAAAATTTAAAAAATTATAGATTTCTTTTTAAGAAAGTTACCAGCATACGCTTTTCACGAAATTTAAGGGTATTCCATCAATTTTCTTGAAAAAAAATATAAAGATCGAAGGGGGGGGGGGTGTTTTGAGATAATCATCGTTTTACGTTTTTTAAATACTAATTTACGAAGTTTTTTCTTTCAGTGTATTTTTTCCGCAAAGATAATTTAATTACCTAAAACTTTTTCTTATATGCCATTTTCAACAGATCAATTGTTTTCAAGTTATGTATTTTTGCAAAAAATTAATCCATTTTTTATACGCCCTTTACAAAAGTTACTCAGGAGGAAAAAATCATATTTAAATGAAAAATGTAACCATTAGTAGCAGCGAACACGTGAGCAATGTTTCATTCAAATCAGAAGGGTCGAGACAAAATTGACATTTTTTTAACGATTTGAGCTGGAAATGCTCCATACGAAGTCGAGTGTGAGAGGAAATGAGCGCTTCTTGTTTGCTTTTAGGCTATCCATATTCTGAAACATGGAGAGAGCAGTGGAGAAAGCACAGGTCTGATAATCGCAACGTTCGTTGTTCGAGTCCAGTCGGCAACCTTTTTCCTATTTTTTTCGACATAATTAATTTACCTCACTAATACACTCTTCATTTTTCGGTCTCCAATTTGCTTGGATTGGACCGCAGCTAGGTATATCGCATCCTCGGTTCATGCGGTCTCCACTTACATCCTCTGATGATGAATCCCACATAATTGTAAGCGAATCTTACATCCACATCTACCTCCATACGCGCTGAATGAACTTCAATCTTTGTCGAGCCGGTGTAGTTTCCTGCAGAGGATGTTCGTTCTGATGGTGAACAGATAAAGAATAAATTAATAATAGGGTCATGCATTTTAAACATAAATACTATAAGTAATAAAACCAAGTTAGGGACAGTTTCACTTCTATTACAATTCAATAAAAACACATTCTTGGTAATCGTTAAATCAGAGTAAATGGATCATTTGTAAATAAACCTCACGGTGGTGAATATTTTATTGAAATTTTTTTCGGAAAATAAACTACTAAGAAGTGAAATATGGCATGTATGGGCGCGTTGTTTTAATCCACGCTGATATCGTGTCACATAGAATGATGGCTAATGGTACATAATTTGTGAGGCAACTTGTACTCATGGCAATAATGATGAAGCTCTGCTTGGATTTTCGTCAAATAATAAAAAAAAAAGATAATATGTACCTATTTTGACCATGACTCAATAACCAAAATATTTTTTTTTGCTTTCTGTAGAAAATTACTTACTGGTGCATATCATTCAGAACAACAATCTTGATGCTGTTCAGTGCAATATTGCCTCACAACTGTGGATAAAATAGGAACATGACAAAACCAGAAAAAAAACTGCCTTTACCCTAACTTTATCAACAACAATAGTTTTACTTTTCTATATCTATAGTTTTGCTATTTTAATCTCAATTTTTGGCAAAATCAATGTTATTATAAATCATATGGGTGTTTTACGATCGCGGGGTCGATCCGAGCTTAGGTACAGGATGGATTTAGTTTTGCCGTACCCAAAATTAGTTATAGTTGGTCGATGGATTTCATGGATTTAAATTTAGTGACATGAAACCTTTTCGTTGTTAAATTCACTAACATTGGATTTTCGATCATTTCTAAGATTACATTACACATCATTTCTAAGTTTTACAGATCCCTTCGGGGTATTATTTGGATGTTCATTCAACATTTTACACGGCCTTTATTGTTCGTGAACGCGGTACCCCAATTAGGGTAATTGCTCGTATAGATGCGGTACGTTAGAAGCGTTAGGTTTCTATAGTTGCTTACGGAGTCTCCATAAGCAACTATGGAATACAACGCTTCTAACGTACCGCAACTATAGGAGCGTTGGCCTTAATAGATCATCAAACTGGTTTAGTTTTCCAACAACAAACAAGGTAGTTGACGCATTGCGCTTTTCGCTCTAGACTTATGACTTAAACGTGTTCCAAGTACAACTTCTTTTTGCTATCTGCCGTGAAGCACCGTAATTTCGCGTGTTACCTAATTTCGCTCACTACGTAATTTTATGTATTTTTCCAACTGTTACTGTGTGACTCATGAAGAATATGCGTTGTATCCGGGGGAACATCAACTCGTCTAATTTTATATTTATTATGCTATGTTAAATTTGACGAGATGCATTGTATTCGTTTTATGTCAGGTAACACAGTAGCATTAGATTAACAATCTTAATAAAATCATCCTTATGCTTGCTTATTCAGCAATGACCCAAAGTTTTCGTATTAAATGATCAAAAATATTAGGATTTATTCATCACACCAAATTTCTTAAATATTGTTCGGTGCTTTTTTTGCTGGATTCATTCTGAAAAAAATATATTTTTTATAGAAAGTTTTGTAAAATATATTGTTTTACCAATTTTCCGCAATATGCTGAATATCTAAAGAAATCTACTGAAAACTGTAAATAAATTTGACTAATCGAAACTGTAAACGGCTACAATTCCGCATTACAGTAGAAAAAGTGGCGAATGTACTGTAAAACAATATTTTACAAATCCAAATGGTATTTGGGGTTCATGTAAAAATTTCCGAACAGATTTGCAATATTTTTTCTGTTCATTATTTTCAACCACGAAATCAGTTGTCAAAGTGTTCGACTTGACAGCGGTTTGTTTTTTATTTTCAACCAGTAATATGCATGTATTAGTGAAACTTCTCACTAATACTAACGGTGGTAGAGAACTCGACGACTTTCGTGAGCTAATTGAGGAAAATAAGCTTGCTTGCTAAGTCGCAAACAATGTCATTAGAATGTATAGACACGTCAAAGTGATCCGATGTCAGCGCTGTGGTAGGGGATTCGTGAAACTAAAAATATTTCAAGCATCGTATGACAGACTATTGTCGGCAACCCAAATTGAAACGCTAATTTCATTGGATTTTCTTAAGAAAACACTTCGCTGAATGCATTCAAACAATTCTTTAGGCTTTCAGCTTCAATTTGATTATATTTTTACCACTGAGAAAAGGTAATCTAGCAGGGTTTTCTTGAAATGAAACACACGCACTACAAAACGCTGCTGATTTCGAGTTGCCGATGAAAGCAAAGCTGTTTAACACGCAGCTCAAATAGAAAGGCTGCCGGATAAAAAGAGATTGTGGGCCGCTCTCACTAGAGAATATTGGAGCTTTGTAAAAGCGTGTTAAAACAGTTTTTGACAATTCTTTCGACTGAAATTGTTAGAGCAGTTGGCACCAAAAGATTGTAAACAAACCAATACTGTATATATGTGAGTTCCTTAGAGAAAAAGGCTATAGAAAGATGGTCGCTGCTTAGGTTGCCGAGGATACGTAAATTCCACTATTATTTTCAAAAAATTCCTACCAGGCAACGTTTTGATACAATCTATTGAACTTGTATACACATTTTTTTGCGTCTTAACAAGCAAACTTGTTTTCCACGAATAGCTTGTGATGTCATTAGTGAGTTCAGTGGCGATATTGTAAAGGAAAATTTGTTCAAAAAGTTACGTCTGTTTGTCTGTGTTTAAATTGAATGTTAATTGTGATCGAGAATAAACCGCTACGTTTGTTTATCTGCGATATAATTAAATTATCAATCAGTTAATTCATTTAATTTATGTATTGCCGCACATTATCGGCAATTGACGGAAAATACAAACATCAAGCATTAGGATTTAACATGTATTTCGATAGAAAGTCAAAATAAGAAGTTTTCTCAATTATAGTTGAGCTGTTAATTTTAGCCACAAAGTTAAAGTCATTCGTGACATGACGGGGGATGAGCTTTGAACTCGTGACTATTACCATAGATGTAACTCTAAGACCAGAAGGTCATGAAGAAACGTGCTCAACTTTTTGGCTCAGTTCTGGTACTATCTTCGGTCCCAAGCTAATCGATGCACCCCTCGAAACATCCAAAAATACACGAACCCCTAATTTTATCTGTCAAACTTTCATAGCCAATCAAAACAAACATAGGGTAGTTCTAGATTTTCGAATAGAATGGGGTACGCTTATAGATGTACTTGGGACCAATAGGCTAGTCAAGTAGTGAGCCAATTTAAAACCGTTAGTTTCCACCAGTTGCTATTACCGTGAGAGGCATGGATACTAACCTATATGCCGGGCGTGTCCCCATAGCTTTTTAATTTAAATGTCGCTAAAATATTGAAATGTAGACATAAACCGCATTAATTTATTTAATGAGCTTAGTAAAGTATAAGTTTTGCTTCATACCTATTGTTTTTGCATTTGTTGTGATTTTTTAGAAGTTACTCTACGTGAGCGGAATAGGCACAACAATTAACATTTAATCGAAGGCTGAAGGACCGATCTCTATCTCTCTAATTTGGTAGTCATTCCATATAATGACTGGAAAATGAGAGAGAGAGAGAGATATCCTTCTTACATGAATAGTTTTGAAACAAATTTAACAAGGATGCTAGCACGAACTGTACGAGTGTATGAAATTACGGTGCTTAACGGTACATAAACTTTGTACTTTCACATTTATTGACTGAGAGCTTCTAAGCTTGCTATTGTACCGTGTGTACCCCATACAAAATCAAGAGAAGTCGACAGGGTTTTCCACCCAAAAATTAAACGATAATTGGCTATTGGGTATCCCCGATGAGTAGTATTACAGCTTTCATTATGCGCGCCTGCACGAAGAGAGATGATTTTATCAATTCAAATGGAAATATTTTTGATACAGGGCCTAATACATAGTTGTTTGTTTTCGTCCAAAAATATTGTACGATTATTACAACTAAAAATACGGTTTGTTGATTCAATAATATTTCTTCCTGAAATAATGATACAATATTTTTGAATCATTCATGCTAGTTAGCATAATAGATGCTGTGAATCAACTAAATATTTTCCGCGTATGTATTTTGAACTGCACGGTGTACGGTGTACGGTGTACGTTAAAATGTAACTTCCATACGATTTTATAATATCAATGAACATGACTTTATGAATATAATCTTCTCGTTTTAAAAATATACAATAATCCCTACCTCGCCAGTACCATTCAAAACGATCAATAAAATTAAGGATTATCAATTAATTTACAATAATAATATACTCTCATCATCTTGTTCATCATTGTTCTTGTTTTGTAACATTTTTTGTACTAACAATCTTCATAATGTGTTTGGGCAGTCGCTATTTTTAGAAATAAATAGCCTTTCAGGATCTAAACTTAGTTGTTTGAGTGCATTGTAGATCTTCTTCCTAATATCCGCCAAGTAATCTCTTTCACGTCCCAGTAACCATATTTGATCTGAAATAGAAAAAAAAGTATCACAAAAAAGTTCCGTTTCAGTAATGTTTAGCATAGTAATGCCACAGACAAACAGACATAACACTCGCAAGTTGTTTATCGAATAAGCATTTAACGGTCAATTTAAAAGTATCGTAGTTGGTAGTACCGCCACCTGTTGCGCGCATAGTCAATCCCCCTGCGTTTGACGTTTACACATTACCGCCATCTGTTCAGCGTTACTACCCACCACAGTATACTCAACAGATGGCGGAAATGTTTTAGCAACGATGTTTTACAGTGAAAAATATTTAATGGTAATGCTTTAGCACACAATTCCAGTGTGTAAATGTTTTAAAAACTGATTTATCCCACGGGGTTACCGTTTGGCATAATGGCCATATCATATTATATATATTATATATTATCATATATGGCCCATATGGCATATATGTATGTGGAAAAACTTTACCTATAGCGATAAATGAATATATTACCATGTGGTCTGTACTACAACGGAATACGAGCTAAGAAAGAAGGAAAAAATATTATTTGATTGGTATTTCTCCTTCTTTTGAACGTGAGCTGTTCTTGCATTCTTTTATGCCAAAGTCCATTATGCCAAATGGCAGCAATGCCAACTAACCATTATGCCAAATGGCAGCAATGCCAAATGAGGTAGGCCCTCATACGGGGCTTACTGTGTGTGAGAGCAGCCTCAGAATGCACGTGTATTAGCAGTCATTCTTGAAATGGGTCGCTGGATTTACAATTTAGCTCTCACCTTCTCCAGTAGATCTGTTTATTAAAAAAAGTTTGGTATCCGCCCGGTTAACTAAGATTACTGTTTCTGATGTTAAGTTGAGCTTTTGTGCAAGTGTTCAGCAAATTCGGAGATGAACTAGAGGTGCTTCAAAATTATTTGGTGATTTTTAGGTATTTTCTTGTTTATAATATTTGTATCTCTAGACTGGAACCACGGAAACTGCTGTAATAACATGTTTAACATAGCTCAATATACTATGTACCAACATTGTGACAGGAGTGTTACTATTTATGATGCTTTTATTGAATTTTAAGTCAGTTTCGTACTTAGAGATAGTGCACAAAACAGTCAGGTTCAATGAGAGATTTTCGTAGGAATTTAACAGAAATCTGTCTACACATTCACTTCATAGTGAGTGTCTGAATGATTGGGAAGTAAACAACTCGCTGACAGCAAAGCACTCATCCGGTAGCACGTTTATTCTTCCTTGTTGCTACCCACTCTTTGTTTTGAATGACAGCACACATTTTCTATGGTAAAATGCGAGCGGTTTGTATCAAGGTTGGAAGATGCCCATTGATTACCGGTCATATTATTTAAAGCTTGGTACAAACTGCTGACATTTTACCATAGAAAATGTATGTTCAGTCATTCAAAACAAAGAGTGGGTAGATTACAGCATTTTTTTTTCGCAATAATTATTTTATTTTGAATTACTGCGTAACAAAATAATCGTTAATAATTTGTGGGTAATTACTGCAACTTATTAGCAGTTTCATGCCAAATGACGAGTCGGAAAAAACCCGACCTTCTCCGATTTACATAATTGTATTTTTTTCCAGAATTACTTTACTTTTCTAAAAAACTTAATCACAGACGTCATTTCGATTAGAAGTGCCGTTTTGTGCAACAATTTATTGAAAAATGTCAGAGGCCATTTTGGAAAAACAATTACAAGATCCAAAATAGCCGATTTTTTGCTAAAATGTGAATGATTGCCCATTCTATTTGGCCTGGAACTGGTCTTATGATGTTTCGCAAATAATCTGAAAACCATAAACATAATTTAATAGTAATTCCGTGAATATTTATGCCCGAAACTGTACAATGTATCCTCATTGATTGACGGTCAGTGTCTATAAATGACAACGAAACAATGATTATTATAAAATTATGAAAATTGTTTCGTTACTTTGAGATTTGTTACATTTATGCGATTACTAAGAATACTTGTATTACAAAAGGAATTACAATTTGACGGATACTTCCTTCTTTCTTCCTTCCTTTATTTAATGTCGGTCTCTGTTCCACAATCTAGTGCCAATCACCGGCGGCCATCGATTGCCGTCAATGGATGGCAGGAAGGCAGCTTCCACACCTCCGTAGGATATCGCACCCATTCAATGCACATGGGCCGGGACCAACGGCTTTAAACGGATGCTTCAAAGCAAAGTCTCGTTATAACGAAAATAAATTTTGACAGTAAATATTTCAAATTTCAGTTTTGCTATTAATTTTCTTTCTTGTAATTCCTCATTTTATTCAAGTAATCTTAGTCAGTCAACAAAAGTTATCTAAAAGTAACAAAATAATTTTCATTAATTGTATCATCACAGTAATTCGTGGTAATTTCATAGGCACTAACCGGTAATCAATGTTGGTAGAAACCTCTCGGAAAAATGCCCCAATTGTATGCTGTGTGAGCGAATTCAAGTTGTGTGAGGCACGGGGGTGCTAAGAGACCATTTTTCTGTTGTCCATCTGTAGTGCTCATAATTGTTATACAAATAATGCTCATACTCATAGATTGTCATACAAGTGTATCCGCGGCAATTACTCTCACAAAAGACGCAAAACACACACATGCGGTTTATGCAACGGCTATAAAATAAGCAATACAAACGCAAAGGCCAGCAGCGCCGGTGGTGTAGTGGTAAGCGTGATTACCTCTCAACCTCTGAAGCGTAACATCTCTGATCACGCCTTCCTTAGGAAGTAAAGTAGTAAAGCCGTTGGTCCCCGGTTCATGAGTTGATGAGTCGATAAGTAGGGTCCAGGTGTGGGAGCTGCCTTCCTGGCGTCAGTAGCATTGGTGCTCATCACGGAAAACAAGATCGAAGGAAAACAAATCAAGGAAAAAAAAACGCAAAGGCTCTTATTACCGATGTCACTCTACGGTGAAGTGACAACTTATCACTTACGGTGAAGTGATTCCCATTCGATTTATACGGCTATCACTTCACCGTCAGTGACAACTGGTCACTTCACTTCGGGGCTTAATACGGATGTCACTTCACGGTGAAAACTTGTCACTTGTTGTCACGGTAAAGTGATTCGCATTTGATTTGTACGGCAATCACGGCTCTTATTATGAGTGTCACTTCCTTATCACCGTGTAGTGACACCCGTAATAAGGCCCTTCGTTTTAACCGTGAAAAGAAAACCCATAATAAGGGTCAAAATGTTGTTGTTGTATGTTATGGGCTATAAATGTATGGCCCAGCTAAGAGGGTATTGACCATTATTACGGGTGTCACTTCACGGTGAAAACGAAATGAAGTGACCAGTTGTCACTCATGGTGAAGTGATTGCCGTGTAAATCAAATGGGAATCACTTCACCGTGAGTGATAAGTTATCCGTGAAGTGACATCGGTGATAAAGGCCTTTGTCATACTTGTTAAATTCCATAGTGAGATAATTAGCTGTCACCCCCGTGACCCCTGTACAGTGGGGTAAAACCGGTTGTAATTTTTTTTTATCATGAATTATTATTTTTGTAGTATTTTATCCAGATTCTCACATACATTTTAGCCTCAAATGCAAAACTTCAGGATAATTCAAATAATTGAATATTATTCACAGCGGTGAAGATGAACATTTGTAGAAAAACTGTAAAGTTTTAGGCATGGCATGACATATTGATTTTTCAAGAAATTCAATGTATATGAATCGTTAATTTTAAAGGGCGAACACGAAATTATTGCGACACCGAAAATGTCATGCCAATTTTCTTATAATGTTTAGAATCAAACCAAAATTTTAGGGTAGTTTTATACATATATTTACTTCAAAAATCAAAAGAGAAGTTAATTGATGGAGCCTTGAGTGTAAAATTGAACGCATTTTCGCTTGATGCCCTCCATCAAAGTCTTAACAGTGTCATCCGGTACCAGTTTCTCAGTTTTTTTTCCATTTTCTTAACATGTCCTTCTCGTCTTTGACTGTCTTCTTGCTCTTCCGAAGTTCCCGCTTCATTATTGCCCAGTACTGCTCCACCGGGCGCAGCTCCGGACAGTTTGGCGGATTCATGTCCTTTGGAACAAAATGGACAGAATTGGCCTCATACCACTCCAGGACACTTTTAGAATAGTGGCATGATGCCAAATCTGGCAAAAATAGCGGAGTTTCGTCGTGCTGCTGCAAGAACGGCAAAAGGCGCTTCTCGAGGCACTCAGATTTGTAGATCTTGCCATTTACTGTGCCCTTTATCACGAAAGGCTCACTCCTCAGTCCGCAAGAGCAAATGGCCTGCCAAATGAGATATTTGGAGGCGAACTTCGACATTTTCTTCTTCTTAAATTTGTCGTCCACATCGAACTTGCTCTTGCCGGTGAAAAACTCCAACCCCGGAATTTGCTTAAAATCGGCTTTTATATACGTTTCGTCGTCCATCACACAGCAGTCACATTTTGTCAGCATCTTCTCGTAGAGCTTCCGTGCACGAGTTTTAGCCGTCGATTGTTGCCGCTCATCGCGGTTTGGGAAGTTCTGTACCTTGTATGTATGTAGTCCAGCTCTCTTCTTTGCATTCTGGACGTAGCTCTGCGACATGCCGATCTTTTTAGCCAAATCACGGCTTGAGACGTTGGGATTTGCTTTAATCAACCGCTTCACCTTTCCCTCCGTCTTTTTGTTCTCCGGTCCCGGTTTTCTTCCAGCTCCTTTGCCGTGGTCCAACGTCAACCACTCCTGGAACCGCTTCAACACTCTGGAGACGGTTGAATGGTGAATGTTCAACATTTTTCCCAACTGCCGGTGCGACAGGTCAGGAAATTCCAGGTGTTTGGAAAGAATTTGTCGCGTTGGTTCACCTCCATTTTCGTTGAATCGAAAAACACGACTTCGAGTTTGACAGCATGTACACAATACACATCAATGAGAAAGTGTGCAAAATTTGGTTGATTTTTACCCAATGGTAAAAAAGTTATGCCCTGTTGAATGTGTCGCAATAATTTCGTGTTCGCCATTTAATGG